CGTATTAGAAACAAAGAGGCTCAAAATAAAGCTCAGTAAAGAAGGTACCATGTGAATTTGTTTTCTCATTGTTTTAAATAGAAAAAATTATTAGAAATATTAAAGTTTTATTTGTTACATAAAGATATTTTCTATTTTATCAGAAAAATAATTTATTTAATAATAAAAAGATAATAGTGACAATTATATGGAATTATATTTTCTTTTTAAATACGAAGATATAGAAGTTAAAAATTGAGTAAAAATAAAAATAAAATAATTAAAAAGAACTTAATATGTTAATACAAACTTCTACTTTACCCAAAAAACAGTTTTCTTTTTCTTCCTTGAGATATTAAGTTTACTTTTTTCTTATTATCAATTTTTTATTAAAAAATGAAAGAATCTTTATTTTTAATTAGTGAATCGGTGGACCATTCAGATCAATAACATAAAATGAAGGGTTATGATTTTTTTCTCATTTTTAAGTGGTTTGTTGTGATGTGCAGTTGTAGGTTTTGGTAGATTTTAGAAACCATTTTTTTTTTTATGTTCTTCTTTCTCTTGCAAGTAAAAATGTACCCATGCCTAATTACACAATTCGCAAGAAAATTAAATACTATTTTATTTGATCTTCCTTGTTACCCGTTGGGTTTCTTTACATTGTACCAGAGTAGTGCTTGTGTTAAACACTTTTTTTTTTAAATTATAATACTATACATTATTAACATACCCCTCAATAGCAAACCCTAATACCGTCGTGCTAACCCTCCTGAACTCGGATCAACCCAGAATGCAGCTTGTTATATCTAGTCTTGATGGCTCCAACTATCTGTCTTGGAGTCGAGCTATGGTGATTGCATTAAAGAGCCAAGGACAAACTTGCTCTTGTTGATGGCAGATGCAAGAAGCCCAAACCTGATGCAGTGGAGTACTAACAATGGCACAAAGCAAACAATATGGTAGTATCCTGGACTCTCAGCTCGATGAACAAGGAGTTAGCCAGTGCCTTCCTATACACCACATTTGTAAAAAATATGTGGGATGAAATAAAAGAAATGTATGGAAAAAGTAACAGACCTCTATTGTATCAATTAAAACGTGACATAAGTTCCATTACACGGTCAAATCTTTCTATCACAACCTATTATATAAAACTAAAACCGTTATAGGATGAATTGACTTACCTAAAACCGTTACTTGCATGCACCTGTCATGCTGCAACACAACACAATGAGATCGATAACACTAATAACCTGATTCAATTCCTAATGGGTCTCAATAATTTATATGACCATGTTAGAAACTAAATATTAATCATGAAACCCCTCCCCATTGTCAACAAAGCTTATTTTATAGTGATTAGTGTTGAGAAACAAAGAGAAGTACAAATATCAACTTACCTGAAGGGATGCCTGCTGCATTTTATGCCAATATAAAAGATAATCCAAAGCTTCCAAACCGAAAGAAAGAAAAGGATAGCAGAATATGTACTTATTGTAAAAATACAAGGCACACAAGGGACACATGTTTCAAACTCCACAGTTACCCAGAATGGTTTGCAGAACTCAAAGGGAAAAGAACAAAGAGAAAGCAAATGCAGTGGCAAATAATATCTCTGATGGTATCAAAACCGAAGCATCCAAAATAAACTGGAACACAGAAATAATCACATTCATACAGCAAGACATCAGCAAGTACATGAAGAATTAAGGAACAAACACAGCAAAATCTGCAGGGTGCGTGGGCTATTCTGGCCGTACTGGTAAGCAACTTAACTGCTACTTTTTACATACCTCAAATGATATGGGTACCTGGGTGATAGACACAGGTGTTATGTCATTTATATGTCATGATTTTAGTTTACTTTCCAAACCCATAAAGCTGGAACCCATAATACCTGTTTCACTACCAAAAGGAGCTTTGAGATACTCGACCCACAAAGGAACCGTAAGATTGTGTTATAATCTAATATTATATGATGTCCTTTACATACCAAAGTTTGCTTGTAACTTGATTTTTGTTAGAAAATTAACCCAAGCATCAAATATCTACATATCCTTTTATCCCAACTATTATTTTGTGCAGAATTTGACGACTAACAAAAAATTAAGGAAGAGAACAATAATGGAGGGCTTGTACACCTTGAGTAAAGACACAGATTCCGACAAAGTATGCACCAGCCACACCTAAGAAAATAACCTACAACTATGGCACAAAAGACTAGATCACACGTCCACAAAAAAAATGACTCACATTCCTAGCATAAAGTTATTAAATAGTGTAGATTCACATGTTTGTGAAATATGTCCATTGGCAAAACAACAACGTCTGTCTTTTTCCAAAAGTTCTATTATTATTTATGATATTTTTAATTTGATATATTTTGATCTTTGAGGTCCTTATCCTGTTAATTTTATCTCCAATGCATTATATTTTTTAACTATAGTGGATAATTTTTCGCGAACTACATGGATTTACTTATTAAAAGAGAAAACAAGTGTACCAAGCATTTTAAAATATTTTTGTAATCTGATACAAAATTAATTTTAAAAAACAATTAAGGTTATTAGGACAGACAACAATACTGAATTTGTAAACACTTCATGCGAAAATATTTTTCAAGAAAAGAGTATTGTATATGTAGCACCCGGAAAGGAGGAAAAAAAAAAAAAAAAAAAAGGGGGGGGCCACGTCAGCAGCCACGTCAGCAGGCCCGGTCAGCAGTCCCGGCCAACCGGGGCCTGCCACGTGGCAAGACCGCATCACTCCGAAAGGAGCCACGTTGGCGATCCGCGTGGGTGCGATCCGACGGCCCAGATCAATCGCGCGATCGGACGGTCCAGATTCAATCGCACGGACGGCCCAGATTCAATCAAAAACGAACGGCCCAGATTAAAACGAAATGAACGGCTGTGATCAAAAGGCAAGGGGTTATAAATAGAACCCCCACACCAGACCACAAACCCTAGCCGCCCGCCGCTCGCCGGAGAAGACGAACCAGAGGCCGACCGCCGCCACCCGCCGCCGCACCGGGGAAATTTCCGACCGCCGCCACCCGCCGCCGCACCGGGGAAATTTCCGACCGCCGATCGAGGTAAATTTCATACCCCCGACTCGTTTTTCTCCGCTGATTCCTCCTATGGCCAAATTGAGGCCGAAATCTCGGCCAAACGGCCGGAATACGCGGCCGAAACCCAGCGGCGCCGCCGCGCCCCTCTCGGTTTTTTTGCCTCCGACGAGGTCCTTCCCGGCCTCCGTTCGATGCAATTTTTATATCACCGTGATCACCATTCTTTTCTCTACAGGTTGACCGAAGCCGAATCACCAAAACACGAACCTCGCCGGAGAGCCGCCGTACCCGAGAGCGCCGCCGCCGGTAAGCTCCGCTTTTCCGTGATTTTTGGCCCCCCGAGGGCCCTAGGGTTGTTTTCTAACAAGGACCAATGCGAGTGTGGCCGAATTCGGCCGAAAACGGCCGAAAACAGCCAACCCGAGGCGACTCGCCGCCGCCGTGCCGGAGTTGCGATTTGGTCCGAAAGGGGCCCTGGGCCTAATTTGGATTTTTTTGGAACACGTGCAAGTACTGTTAGTGTGTTTCAGTTCCCCGGGAAAAATTCAGGGAAAATTAGGGACGGCCTGCAGGCGCACTGTGAATCGTATTCGGATCCCGAAAACAAGTAAGGACCCCACCTATTTCCTATCACGGTATTAAAGTTCAAAATGATAAAACGGTATTTCTTGAATTAATGCATGTGTGAAATTGCTTAAGGTTGCTAATGGAGCCCGAGTCTAGTGTGATTGATGATTTACTGTTATTTGGCCTGTTTTACAGCTTTAAATGCATTATGGGGTTTGATGTGTTCATTTTATAGTTTCGAATGCATATATTACTGTTTTATTAATTATGGGTTGAATGACTGAAGAACTGATACTGTATGTTGTCTGTTCGGCATGAATTACGATTTGCTTGTTTAAATGTGAATTGATGATGCTTATTAAGGAAAAGGGAAATGAAACATTGTGTAGACTGATAATTGTATGATGGGGTCAGTCTGACTAGATATCCTGGGAGATGGTGGACGGACCGGGTCCGTAGGGAACCCTACCGGGATTGTGGTCTCACATGCCGGACGGGGTATGGAGATCTTATGGTTTTGGCGCCCATACCGGACGGGGTATGGGGACGGCCCGTTTCACCCTCATACCGGACGGGGTATTGAGGTTTATGGTTTTGGCGCCCATACCGGACGGGGTATAGGGACGGCCCTGGAAACTGATTATGAATGTTAAAGGTTAACGGGTAGCGGGACCCCTAGGGACCCCCATGGATACTAGTAGGCTGGTAAATGAGAAAAAGATATGTTGTATAATGATTGAATTACAAAAGGCGTGATAAGTGCTATGTTTTACAGCTTATATTATTCCATGATTGTGATAATGTTATTATTTTTCTTATATTGTTTTCATAAATTCCACCGAGGTAAGTGGATGGTAAATGTTTTCATGTTAATAAACGAGTTTATTGTAAATTATGCTCCATTGGTCTTTTTGTGTTTTTCTACCCACCTTTACCTCCGTGACGGTGAGATATCGTGATGTTCTTACTGGGCTAGTGTAGCTCACTCCTTATTTAACCATTTCAGATCAGGAAGACATGGTTCCCGAGCCCGTTCCGCAGGAGGACGACGAAGGGGATGCCTAGAGACTCTGTAGTCATACTCATAGTTTTATTTTCGAGTTTCTCTCTTAGTTAGTTTAATCTTTTATATTTTAAGTACGTTTTTGGTTTTTCGTATAAGGGATGTTAACTGAAATTTTGATCTCGCTTCCGCATTTGATATATTTAAATACTCATTTCATTTTAATATTTTCGGGGACGTTACAGTATATTAAAGAAATGTGCATACACACCACAACAAAATAGTATGGTCAAAAGGAAATACAAACACCTACTGCAAGTTGTTAGAGCATTGATGTTTGAATCAAATTTACTAAAAAAATTTTAGGGTGAAGCAATACTCACAACCACATACATAATAAATGTTTTACCAAGCTCCGTTTTAAAATGGAAAACTCCATACGAAGTTTTGCACAAAAAATGACCGGATTACTCTACTTTAAGGGTTTTTGGCTATCTTTGTTTCGCTACTAATGTTTACCCTCAAAAAATAAAATTTGATGCTCAAGCCTTAAAATGCATTTTTTTAGGGTATGCAACTGGTGTTAAAGCATACAAACTATATGATATATTAAACAAGAAAATAATTTTGCCAAGGGATGTCGTATTCCACGAACATATTTATCCATACCAAATACAACTTCTTCAACCAGACTACCATAACACACCATTACCAATATCCAACATAAACACACCAGACATTACCGAAAATCAGCCGCAAAACAGAGAAGAAATGCTCTCACCTGACTTTACACCCCAACAACCCAAAATCAGGGGGAGTACCAGGGTGAGAAGCAGGCCTATATGGATGGACGACTTTATTGCTCATGTCACCGAGACACCTGCACCCGAACTCCCCTTCCTCGTGTCCATCTCACCTGCGTACAATCATGGCTATATTAATTTCATTGCACAAGTAGGGAGCTCGAGGAGTCAAAAAGTTAATGAGTTTTATATTGAGAGGTCGACGAAAAAAATGAAAGAATATTTATTTTTAATTAGTGGACCGTCCAGGTCAATAACCTAAAATGAAGAATTATAATTTTTTTCTCACTTTTGAGTGATTATTTGTTGTGATGTATACCCGTAGATTTCTGTAGATTACGTAAACCATTTTTTTTTTTTTTGGTTTTCTCCTTTCCCCTCCTAAGTATAAATGTACCCATGCCTCATTACACAATTCACAAGAAAATTAAATATCATTTTATCTAATCTTCCTTGTTACCTATTGAGTTTCTTTTTTTAAAAAAAAAAATTCAACAAGTAAGTCAATTTAATATATTCCCTTCACCAACTAATAGGCTTCAAACACAAGAAGAATTGTAAATATAGATTTTTCAAATACCATTCTTATATTAAGTCAAAGTCAAACATATACACACACACATATATATATATATATAATATTATAACATATACAAGTTGTTAAACAATTCTCTTACCATACATGAAAGAGCCTAACAAGTTGGAGAGAATGTGCGGAATGATGAAAAACGAACAAGAAATTAATATCTATACTTATAATTTTTTGACAAGTCTTATTCCTAAATTTTAACATTTCAAATTCATGTAAATTTAATTACAATAAATTATATTTTAATTATATATAAATTTAATATTAAACTTATAGAGTAATGTATTTCACAAAATTTTTTATTTTCAAATTTTGCTTTCCTTGTTTAGTTAAATTCTAATTGCCTTTAATCAGTCTGTTAATAAATTAATATAATTCTTTTGGTGAATCTCCTAAACGTATGAGATTATAAAATAAAAAAAAAACTTAATTTTGACAAAAGAAAAAACAACTTATCATGAAATACACCGACTTTATTAAGAAAAATATTATCTCTAACTTTAAATGAAATTAATTTTAAAAATGTGTTATTTTAATTTTTTATAATTTGATTCGTAAACACTTAATTTTATTTTAATAGAGAAAATTATAATATTTAAATATTTTAAGAAACAGTTTAAAATAATGATTTTATATAATTATTTAAATTAATATTGATTGAAAAATTAGTACTATTATTATAGTTATTTTTTGATTTTTTTAAAAAAATATCTAAATATACTGTAATTATTTAATTTTTTTTTTGTAAATGGAATAAAATTAAATATTTAAAATAAACAAAAAAAAAATTAAGCATCGAATTGTAACTAACCAAAATTATAAATTAATATTAATAAATTTCAAATTTTATAGAATAATTTAATAATTTATTATTTAATTTTTAATACATACTTATTCCGTTTCCTTAATATATATTCCAAGCGAAAAGGCATGTTCTTTTTCTTTCTTAATATATATATATATATATATATATTATTTTTTTTTTCTATGATGGTAAATTAGCAAATTTCAAGAGGACATGAAATGTACTTCAAGGACACCTTTTATTTATTTATTTCTTTATTTTTTGATATTTCTTCTTCATCCATATATACATATATATATATAACAAATAATTATTAAACTTTCAAAATATTTAAGAAAAATATACCATTTTTTCAATCTAATTCAGTCCAATTTTTCTCCTATGAACACATAAGACCCTCTTGAAAAGAAAAATAAAAAAAAAATAAAGATATTTATGTACCGAAAAATATTATTTTATCTAAAAATATAATAAATTTATTAAAATTTAATTTTATTAATAATTTAAATTATTAATTTTATTAAATTAAATATTATATATAAACTACGACAAATTCTAATAAGACTCTTTAATAAGTCTATTAAAATTGAATCTACGTCAATGAAATTTTATTATTTATATATATAGAATTAGTATAATACATTCATATCATAAACTACGAACTAATATTTTTATTAAGACAGAAAAAAAATTCAAAAACTAAAAATATGTTGTATGTTCTTCTTAATTTCTTTTATATATATATATATATGTATATAATAAAATTGCCAACAAGATTTATTCAAACAAATTTGCTCACTCAACTTTTTTCGCCATCATCATCATCAATACCAACAATCAACAGAATCCAAACCTCCAAACAAACAAAAATAAAAAACCAAATTTACAACCGCAGTTCAATCAATCAATCAATCAAGCCACAAGTTAAACCCTGAAACACCAAACATGGTGATGGTGGCTATGGTGGTGGCCGCCATGGTGATGTCCCTGTAACTCCTCCTGCTCCTTATCAATCACGCCTTGGACGTGTCGAAACTCTTCCACTCCGCACGGAATCGCGATCGGACCTTTCTGCGCAAACCCGTACTCCTCCTCCGCCTCCTTCAACAGCTCTGCGAACAGCGGATGGTTCATATACATCACTGGAATCACAAATCTCTGCTGCTCTGCTTCTTGTTGCCCCACCATGATTGCTAGACACCCCTTCGGAACATCTCTCAGATCCTTTCCGCTCCCATGGAAGTTCGGCATGTGGAGATGATGATGAAAGTCCATGGTATGTTGACCTTGCTTGTTACCGATTCCCATTAAAATAAACGAAAACCGAGAAAACGCGAGAAAGTTTTTGAACAGATTTTCTGGAGGCGTAATTAATTAGAGGAGAGAAAAAGGCCAGGGATCGGAAGAAGAAATGGTGAGATTGAAGAGGGTTAGGGATGAGTCTGTGAGAGATCTTGGTATGTTGCTCATTATAGAATGACGAATTTGTCAATCAACATATATTGATCAAGATAAATGAAGGTGAGAGATTTTTGCAGAGAGATGGAGAAGATGAAGTTGGTAATCCATTGTATGTATGTATATATATATATATATATATGTATTATGTGTAAAGATTGAGGGAATTTGCAGGAGAGGGGTTTGCTTAGTTTATACTCAAAGGGGTATATCAACTGGTTGTTGATGGAGAAGGAAGTGCTGAAATAGTCATAAAATTCTGGTTTTATTTTTATTTTTATTTTTTGCCGTATAAGATATGTGTTTGTTTCGCTGTAATTCTTTACAGTTGGAATATTATTAATCCACGCGCCTTCTACGAGTCAGAATTGCTATTTCCAGGAAATCCCTTTTGCTATTTCCACTCCGCTTCCTTTTTTATTTTTTATTTTATTTTCAAAATTCATAAGTTATATTATTAAGTGGGATATTTTAATAATCAATTACTAAAATTTAGAAAATTATTATTTATTATGCTATTTAATTTTCTTTGACCATTAATTTGAAAATTCCAAACTCTAATTAAATGCTATTTTTTCGTAAGAAAGTCAATAAAATACTAAAATGGAAAATACCACTTGGCGGACTTAATATTTATTTTGGATAATGAAAATTAATATTAAAAATTAATCTCAATTTGTAATAATTAATTTTCACAGTAAAAAAAAACAAAAACAAAAAAATCTAACAAAATAGAAACCAAATCCAACTCTCAAGTGGCAACCACGCGAGAAATCTGGAGACAAAAATATGCAGAGAGCCGGAAGACACGTGGACGAAAAACGGCGAAAGAGTTGCCACGTAGGCAGTGTGTGGGTCCATTAATCATAATCTGACCGACAAAAAGGATGTTTTCACGGACACGTCAGCGTGAAGGAAGACAGACCAATAACGTCTCCACGAGCATGTCCACGTGGACATCAAACGACGTCGGCTGCCCCGCATCAGCTTCTCCAACTTTTGTTAAAGGCGCTGTTTGGTTTGCTTCCATAGACCACGACTCATGGTCAAACTCAAAGCCTTATAACCGGATCTTGTGGCAGATTTTGATGCAAATTTGGCTGCGAAGGAACGTAATCTCCACCGTTCAAACTCAAGGTGATCTCGCCATCAATCTGGGCCCTACTGACATACGACCTTAATTTCAAACCGTCTGATGGGCGTGACCAACGTAGAAGTTTCACGAAGGTGGAATTTGACGGTGTGAATAGGACGGAGCGAATTCGAGACGATCTTGGATATTCGGAAAAAATCAAACTGCATTGATTAAGGTTTTAACTAGGTAGGATAGCCGTTGGATTAGATGACCCAGAAGGTGGGAAATGATTTGGTTAGTGTTGTCTTTTCCATGCTCAATAGTCAAAAGCCATATACTTTATATATACAATTATCATTGTCTGGATGCAGCTTCTTTTTCTTGTAGTAAATTTTGAAAAAATAAATACTAGCTTAATTAAAATAAATTATTAAATTTATTCTATAAAAATTAATATTGAATTGTTGATTTTACGTGGTCTTAAATTTAGATATTCGAATTAAATTATTTATTAAATTAAACTATGATATTAAAATATTATATATTTATAAAAAAAATGTGATGTTTATATTAATTATAAATTATAATTAAATTAGGAAAGAATAATGTGTGTGTATATATATATATATATAAATAAGGTATGAGTTGATGTATTTCAACTCCCCGATTATTTGAGTTTTAATTTAAAACTCAAATTTATACTATAAAGTAAGTTCGACATATATTATCTTATATTAAATATATAAACAAAAAATTGTAGAGATGGAATATTAAGGGTGTGGGATTTTTGCTTTATAATAAAAGAATCAAAGTGAGGCGTAATAGGGGGGAACATGTTTGTTCCCCTTCTTTTTCTCTTTGCGAGACACGTGGCACCTAAGCATTTCAATCAACACGAACATGTCCCTACCGCATGAATTTTAAATATTTAATCAAATTAGAATATGCTTTTTTTTTTTTTGGTTTTATATTATATAAATTAAGGGTTTAAGGGAAGTGTAACATTTGATCGTGACTAAATGTCCTCTTGATTTGATAAATAATAAGTTAGTTGAGATTGGGATTGATTTTAACACCATAACTTATTTTAAAATTTTTAAATACAATTCATATATATATACATATATATATATATGAAAATTACAAATTATTAATCATCATATATTTATCATATGCAATTTATTATTATAAATATTTAACGAATGTGTTATTTTATTTCATCAAACCTTAGGGTATATAATTTATATGATTTAGTTTGGTCAAAACCAAATTATGAACGGTTGAAATTCATGTAATCAAATATCTAATTGAACAAATATGGCCACCGGGTCAGGGCCCATTAGGACTGGGAACATAACTGACCCGACCCGTTTGTCATATTAGTCGGATTCACTCTTGCAACTTATGGGCCAAGCCTTAAAAGCCCATGTGAGATACGTTGTATATGTATATGATGTATGTGTGTATATATATATATATATATATATATATGCGTGGGTGTATATGTGTATATGTAGGAACTGTACAAATGTTTATTTTATTTTCTATTTTTTGGTTCTACATAAGATTATATAAATATTTAACACCACCAACACAAAATTGTTGCCGAGGGATGACATTAAAAATTTTGAATACAAACAAGACGAAAATAATACGAGAAACCGACCAGTACAAAACCTATATGAAACGCATGAGCTGATCATCACAAAAAATTAAACTTCACAGTGCACCGCATACGGCGGCGGTCGGCGACCGAGGCGACTCATATTTGCTATCAAACCAGCATCATCATCAACCTTCTTCTTCCGAGTCATTTGCTGTCTGATTTTCATATCTGAAAATAATATGAAAATTCTCATGTTTGACTAAAAATTTCGAAGGAACTCCCTTTTGCAGTGACCTACTATATATGTATATATATATATGTCTAGAAATATTCGTTTATTCAACTTATATATATATATATATATATATATAGATTTATATAATTAACAAAAGAGTTTTTATATATATATATATGTTGTATTTATTTGTTTAATTTATTATTATTCTCCAAAAAAACAAACCACAATAATATAAATTTCTACCACGTACCGAAATAAAAATAAAAAATAAAATAAAAATTGAAGCCAGCACGTCTTTGAGAATTTTTACCTGATTTTCCCAAAATGCCCCCGTGATTTGTTGGAAATCACCACCATGTCTCAGTTTCCTGCATGGATCGATCCCACAATATATATACGTCCTATAAATACACGTGCATGCATCCATGCACGTCCACGTTCTAACACCCTTCATCTTCTTCTTGATCCCGTGACGCCACGCTACGATTCCGCCGCCCACTATCTCCTCCTGAAACCGCCGGCGAGTTTTCCGGCTGCGAAACCAACTGCTGACATGGCCTCGAAAATTGGCATAGATTTCCCCCGACAGCCAACGAGTCAACGATCGGTCTAATAACAAAAATACCCTCCCCGAGTGCTGCATACATCACCGTCGTCAAGAAAACGACGAGATCACTCGCGCCAAACGCTTCCTTCTCCGGCGTCCACAATATTGACAGGCCAAGAAAGAGGATCTTAACAGGCAACAAGGTGAGCACCGCAAAAGCCAGAGCGTAGATTCGAATCCTCAACGACTTGTTGATGACGAGAGAAAGAACTTTCCAGCAGGAGATGAGGAAGGAGAAGGAGTAAATAGCCCCGAAGGCGCCGAACACCATGGTGCTAAGCAAAGGATAAGAGCACAAAACCATCTCGTCGCCGATTGGGTTCTTGACTACCACCGAACTTCGATGAAAAAACTCCGGCATCTGAAATTCAAATTGGGAAAAGAATATGAAGAAGAACTGAAGCATCAAGATAGGGAGACAAGAGGAGAAAACAAAGGCGAGAGCCCAAGAACAACGAGGGGTGGTTTTCTTGATGGAGACATTAAGGAGAAAAAGCAGGGTGACGAGGAAACCAGGTTCGAAGAAGCCTAAAGAGAGGAGAACATGGATTTTGCAGAGATTGGCCTGTTGAGGGACGGTCAAGCGAGGCAAGAAAGGGAAGAGATAGCGCCAACGAAGGAAGGGCAAACGAATGAGCTCATCGACGGTCCAGAGGGTGATGAAGAGGACGAGGAGAAATCTGACGGTCCAGAGAGAATTAAAGTGCTGTAAATGGTGAGAAAAACGGGACTTGAAGCAGAAGAAGAAAATGAAACAGAGAGAAAAAAGGGAGAAAAGAAGAAGAAAGGCGATGAAACACAAGGTGGCAATGTCGAAGGGAGAGTCAGCGAACGGTACTAACCGAGAATAGACGAACATCTCACGTCGCTACTCTCCCTTTTTGCTTTTTTTTTTTTGAAAAAAAAAATTTGTTATTTCTAATACCAATCTGGGGGTAGCTTTTTGTTGAGAAGAACCGTGTCAGAGATGAGAATCTGAGGATGAAGAAGATGGAAATGGCGGAGAAGGCGACGGGAGATTGAGGAGACAACACAAGGCATAATTGAGCTGAGAGGGTTGGGTTGGGTTGGGGGGAGAGGGAGAGAGGAGAGGGGAAAAGAAAAAAGGAAAAAGAAACAGAAAAAGAAGAGAAAAATTTCCTTCCTCTCCCCTGTAACCCTTTTTCCCAACCAGAGGGGAAAAGGAGGTGACGGAAGCTACAAAAAGGAATGAAGGATTGGAGGGAGACAGAAGGAAATGAGCAGAGAGAGAGCCTCCCACCGCGCAATTAACCAACTATTTGCTCTCATTTCGGGTTTCTACGGTTATGCCTTTTCCATTCAC